TAAACATTAAAAAAAAATTTTTTTTTAAGAAAAAAGAGAAAACATCACTAAAGATTCCGATATACTTTGTAGTTCAGGCTGAATACGTCTGTTCAAATGTCTAGGCTAACCAATAAAAGCATAGGAAGAGAATACAGGAGATCTCCAAAATGGCCCAGGGGAAAGACCGAATGAGGAAAATAAAACAAAAACAGAAATTTCAAAGCACGAGAAGGCAAGAAACAAAGAAAGTCAAGGCAAGAGGTAAGGGAACATAGAGAAAGCAAGACAAAGAGAAAACAAAATGAGATGATACACATGAATCCAAACGCTCCAGGGGAAAGATAAGGACCATCAGGGTGGATTCAAAAGAAATCTCGCCGTGCCCCCCATGGCTAACCAAAAGAGCTAGCATAGATCAGGCAATACAGACTTTAAGGCATAAAGCATCACGGCAGAAAGAAATTCACCACACATGGATGAAAACTTAAAACACACTGAAGGTACTGCAATTCTAAAATTTATTTATTTTTTAAAGGTTTTCTTTTTTTAATTTATTTAATTTCTTTTTTTTTTTTTAGTTTTTTTTTTTAAGTTTATTTATTTTGAGAAAGAAAGAGAGGGCAGGGGAGGGGAAGAGAGAGAGGAGAGAGAATCCCAAGCAGGCTCCATGCTGTCAGCCCAGCGCTGACATGGGGCTCGAACTCACCGACGTGAGATCAAGATCTGAGCCAACACCAAGAGTCAGACGCTTAACCAACTGAGCCACCCAGGTGCCCAAATTTAATTTCTTTAAGTAATCTCTATGCCCAACATGGGGCTCAAACTCCCGTCCCCAAGTCAGAGTCGCACGCTCTACTGACTAAGCCAGCCGGGCGCTCCTAAAATTTATTTTTTCCTAAGGTAACTTCACGGTACAAGAAAAAAAAGTAAGAGTAAATGACAAATCTTCCACCATTATGATCTGCCATAAATGGCTTTGAGTCCCTTGTACATATGAACACTGTTAGTATTCCCATGAATCCTGTTCTTCTGTGTTCCCATTTTACAGACAAGAAAAGTAAGGCACAAAGAAGTAACATATCTCCCACGAAGAAATGATACAACCAATGGCAACAAGAATCCTTCACCATGGGAGGATTTGCATATCAGCAAGTTAGATCTAATGCAAATAGGTAGGGATGAAAAATACATATTCTTTTCAATTACTTATAGAACACTGATAAAAACTGACCATGTGCTGGGGCATAAAACAAGTCTCAAATAAACCAAAGATTCAAACTCAGAGTTTCCAGAACGATGATGCAATTAAATTATAGAAATCAATATCAAAGATACTGAACTTACCGAAGAGAAGTTTAACTACGTCATACAGTGGGAAATTTTAAAATAGGCTTCCAAATAAATCATAGGAGAGATTCAATAATAGTAAAGGAAATGAAAAGTATCTGGAAATGAACAACAACGATACTTCATATCAAAATCTGTGGGTTACACACAAAATCATATGTAAATGGGAAATGTATTACTTAAATGCTCATATTAGAAAAGAAGAAAGGGGCGCCTGGGTGGCTCAGTCGGTTGAGCGTCTGACTTTGGCTCAGGTCATGATCTCGTGGTTTGTGAGTCTGAGCCCTGTGTTGGGCTCTGTGCTGACAGCTCGGAGCCTGGAGCCTGCTTCGGAGTCTGTGTCTCCCTCTCTCTCTGCCCCCTTCCTGTTTGTGTGCTCTCTTTCAAAAACAAAAATAAAAACAAACAAACCAAATAAACACACATTTTAAAAAAACGAAAAAAAAAAAGAAAAGATGAAAGACTGTAATGACATAAAGAACCGAAGAAAGAAATTTCTGGAAGGGGAGGAGAATAAATCCAAAGACACTGACAGAAGAGGAAGAAGAAAAAGAAAAAGAAACTAGATGAAATAGAAACTACAAATAGACAAAGGAAGCTCCATGACGATCGATTTCGGGTTCTCGGAAAATGCGAATAAAAATGATCTGGAATGCTGGTCCTCCAAAAAAAACCCCCAGAGATATAAATAAACAATTTTAGGAGTAAATAAGGGGGCACAACAGCACAGACAGCAAAACTAAGGTGAGAGAATATTATGGGCAACTTTAAGCCAATAAATTTAAGGGGTGCCTAGGGCTCAGTCGGTTGAGTGTCCAACTTCGGCTCAGGTCATGATCTCGCCGTTCGCGGGTTCCAGCCCTGTGTCGGGCTCTGTGCTGACAGCTCGGAGCCTGGAGCCTGCTTCGGATTCTGTGTCTCCCTCTCTCTCTGCCCCTCCCTCGCTCGTGCTCTGTCTCTGTCTCTCGATAATACATAAACATAAAAAAAAATTTTTAAGCCAATAAATTTGAAAATTCAGGATGAAGTGGATATAGGTCTAGAAAAACACAATCTGCCAGTACCGACCAAAGGGGAAGCAGACGATGAAGGAATTGACTCTGTAGTTAGAGACTTCCCACAGTGAAGTATTACGAAACATTCAATAGACATTAATTTCAACTTCCATGGATTATTTCAGAAAATAGAAAAACAAACCGGCAACATGCTCGTAAAGCAAACTAGGACGGACGCGAAAGGAAAATTATAGATCCATTTCAATGGAAACAGATGCAAAACTCTTAGGTAAAATATTTACAAAACCAATTCAGCTAATGTATTAAAAAAAAAAACAAACCCAAAACATCATCACCTAGTTGGGTTCATCACAAGAATGCTAATTTGGTTCAATATAAGAAAACTGACTCAGGTCAGTTAGCCTGATAAAGTGTATATATTAAAATCATGCTTAATGGAGAATTATTTGAAGTACTCTCTTCACACTCAAGAATCGAGATAAAGAAGTCCACAATAATTGCTTTTACCAGCATAACGGCGCTCATGACCAACAGAGCAAGATGAGAAAAATAAAGAAAAGGCATAAGGGTTGAAAAAGAAATAAAGCTGTCATTATTTGCTGGTGCTAGGCCTGTCTCTACACACACACACACACACACGCACACTCCAAAGTAGAAATACAAAGAGAATTTAGCAAGGCATCTGGCCCGATGTTCTACATAGTCCATGTGAATTAAGAACATCACGCCGAATGAAGAAACAATCAAGAATGAAGGAAATAAATGAAAGTATGATTTTTGTTTATATAATGGTGAAAAAGAAGCAAAATTATAAATATACTCTTCGGAGATACATACACCCGTGGCAAAGCTGGGACAATTAGCAAGGAGGTGATTAACACTGAATTAAGGATAAAGGGCACCTCCACGGTGAGGATCAGGGGCATGAAGTTAGGGATAGACTTCAAAGGCATCAATAAGATTGTATTTCTTTTTTTTTTTTTTATCTGTATTTATTTTTGAGAGAGACAGACACAGAGCGGGAGCAGGGGAGGGGCAGAGAGAGAGGGAGACACAGAACCTGAAGCAGGCTCCAGGCTGTCAGCACAGAGCCCGATGCGGGGCTCGAACTCACGGACCGTGAGATCATGACCTGAGCCGAAGTCAGACGCCTAATCGACTGAGCCACCCAGGCGCCCGTCAAGTATTTTTGTAATAAGCAAAGATAGCTTTTATGCTAAGAAAAGGCCATAAGAGAAATTCCTTTTTTATTAATTTTTTTTTATGTTTTTTATTTTTGAGAGAGAGACAGACAGACAGAGAGTGCAAGCGGGGGAGGGGCAGAGAGAGAGGGAGACACAGAATCGGAAGCAGGATCCGGACTCTGAGCTGTAGGCACAGAACCCGACGGGGGGCTCAAACTCACGAGCCGTGAGATCATGACCTGAGCCGAAGTCGGACGCTTAACCCACTGAGCCGCCCAGGCGCCCCCATAAAAGTAATTTTCTTTTAAGAAGATCTTTAAATGAGTAAAATTCACTCTGATTTAACATTTAGGCTAACAAAACATTTGATAAAGAAGGGGCATGTCTTTGCGAGGTACGCTACCCCTATACTGGCGTACCTCATTTAGCCCCCAAACGATTTCAACGGAGTCCCATTGTAAACAGTTTGGGGAGCTGGCTATTTAATAGGAATTTATGACAAACCTACGGTACTTTATGGTTACTCTATCAGCACATTAATATCTTTTGGCAAAGTATCCCCACTCGGGCTCAAATACAGACATTGAGACTATGTATTTTAATATCTTCGGCAATGTTCAAGGAAGGCAGGGTGATAAATACCTAGGCTTTAAGCCAGGCATCTGGCAGACCTAGACCAGTAACTAAATCATCCACGCTATTTTCCAACTCAACTCGTCCCCCACGAATCTGGCAAAAGTGAAAGAAACCTATGAAAATGCCAGGCTTCTCCCCACAGAGAGCAGCAGGCTGAGGATGCCAAAACGGCCCTGGGCGGTCATGGGATGAATACAGCCATTTACCAGCCTTAAGCTGTTTACCCTGTATTGATGACTCTTCGGAAAAGAAAACTCTGCTTCTGGGGAAAAACACATAGACGACCACAAGAAGGTACAGTGCGAGCTTTATCACCTTCCTAACTGCGACACAAGTCGGGGACGCCCAGATGCCAGCCCTCAGCTACAACCTGCTAACAACCGGAATGAATCCACGGCAAGGCAGGCCGGCCCTCCAGGCCCTTTATCTCCCAAACGGAAGCATCGGAGGCTGTCGATCTCTTCCAGATGGCTCTGCAGCCCTGTGCTCTGGCTTTTAAAGGGGTGGACTTGTTCTCTGAAAAGCCATTAAGGGAAAAGCCACAACCTCCGGAAACCACCCTGCTGCGAGCTGCTCCCAGGCTGAGTCTCGGCGTCACCATCCTGGGGACTACACAATCCGGCCAACTGCCCCCGATCGGCACACCGGAGACGCCCCGAAAGTCAGGGCTTCTGGCCCCCACGACAGGTGACACAAAACGGAAAGCACTGATCCCAGGGTGGGTGGCCTTCTGCGGTGCCGTCGGAAAGGAGAGCTTGGGGACAGGCAGCCTGGGGAGGAGAGGCTCCAGGCCCAGATAAGGGAAGGAAGTGAAAGAGTCTCACTGTCACCTCACCTTCTCAACGTCTGCTTTGGTGACATTGATGTCGGCGTCCATCTTCTCAAAGTACTGCTGTGCCCTGTCCGCCTCTTTGCAGTCACGTTCAAATCGCCTTTTACTCTGAAAGCAGGGGCGAGTGGTGGCAGGAGAGCAGGTGTTAATGCAACCGCGAGATTCCTACGCGAGGGTATCTTTTCATCTCCATCCCCCAAGGAGCTTTCTCCTTCCTCTGAGCTGATTAGTGACGATTTCGGGAAGTTACTCGAACAGCTGCATTTATTTCCACCCTAACCCATCTCCCCTTTGTTCTTTGCGTGTGATTTTTTTTTTTCTTTTTTAAGAAAAACGCTCTACGTGAGCTCTTGGGGCTCAGCATCCTAGTCTCCCTAAGGGTGCCTACAAACAAATCCAATTCAAACTGGAAGATCTCTGAAGGCGTGTCTTGGGCGTTTTTGTTTCGCGCTTACTGATCGCTTCGAGCTCGCGTTCACATTTAAGAAACCTAAAGCCGTTTCTCGGGCCGTTTGTCCTCCACTTACTGATTCGAGTTGCTTCCAGCAGATCTCTATGTGCTGTTGTGCCTTCCGCCCATCGTGAAAGTACTGGAAACAGAAAACGCACAGTGATTAGCACCCCCTCTTTCCCAGGGTCACACCTGAGGGAAAAAAAAAATCGTCAACTCAAATCATATTTAATTTCTTGTTTTAAGTAGGCTCCATGCCCAACAGGGGGCTTGAACTCACAACCCTGGGATCCAGCGTCGCGTGCTCTGCCTACTGAGCCAGCCAGGCGCCCCCTAAACCGTATTGAAATACTGAATCTCTAGTGCACTCCAAAGAAATGGAAGACTTAAAAAATAAAGGGGAGGGGTGCCTGGGTGGCTCAGCTGGTTAAGCGTCCGACTTCGGCTCAGGTCGTGATCTCGCGGTCTGTGAGTTCGAGCCCCGCGTCGGGCTCTGTGCTGACGGCTCGGAGCCCGGAGCCCGCTCCGGATTGTGTGTCCCCCTCTCTCTCTGCCCCTCCCCTGCTCATGCTCTGTCTCAAAAATAAATGAAACATCAAAAAATAAATAAATAAATAATAAAGGGGAAATGAAAACCCAGTCACAGAGTTTCCCCCTCAAACTTCAGGTAGGATAATCCCGAGTCCTCAGACCCACGCGCAACACTCGTGAAAAGGGCAGGAATGTTCGTTAGGACAGCGACCACGGAGACCTTTGTTTTTCCGCTGCTTTGAGAATTCACATAGCACACGATTCGCCCACTGGAGTTGTACAACTCCGCGCTCGTTGGTGCAGTCGCAGAATTGTGCAACCATCACCACAGTCTGAGAACATTTTATCACCCCAAAAGGACAGCCTGAACGTCTAACACGTCATACGCGGGCCCCGCCCCCCAGCCCTGGGCAACCGCTACTCTACCTTACGTCTCCATAAATTTGCCTCCTCTGGATTATTTCCTACGAATGGAATCCTAGGCCATGAGGTCTTTTGTGACTGGCACAATGGCTTCCATTAGCACATAACGTTCACCAGGCAGAACGTCTTCCAGGTTCATCCACGTTGTCACGTGGGTCTCGGTCCTTTCTCTCTTTTTTACTGCCCAGTGACACTCCGTTGTATGGGCATATACCGATTTTGTTTCTCCATTCACAGTTGATGAACATTAGGGTTTTCCCAGTTTGGGGCTACAGGAATAATGCCCCTGCAAACATTGGTGTAGATGAATGTTTCCATTACTTAGATCTTCTTAGATTGAAAAGTAAGTTCAGGGGCGCCTGGGTGGCGCAGTCGGTTAAGCGTCCGACTTCAGCCAGGTCACGATCTCGCGGTCCGTGAGTTCGAGCCCCGCATCGGGCTCTGGGCTGATGGCTCAGAGCCTGGAGCCTGTTTCCGATTCTGTGTCTCCCTCTCTCTCTGCCCCTCCCCCGTTCATGCTCTGTCTCTCTCTGTCCCAAAAATAAATAAACGTTGAAAAAAAAAATTAATTAAAAAAAAAAAAAAAAAAAAAAAAGAAAAGTAAGTTCAGCCCCCTGCTCTCTGCCAAGGCCCCGTGGCACGTACGTGCCTTGTGTTGACCAGTAAGGACCGCAAAGGGCTAGAGCAGGGGTAAGCCTCAGGCACTATCAGGAAACGGGGTCAGAGAAGAAAGGGCCAGCCTGTGTAGAGTCTCGTAGACTTTGGGTCTGAATGAGCTGGGGGACCATGGGTCACACAGAGGCGCCATGTTGTGAAGGAAGGTTCCAGGTCTCTCTCCAACCCGGGAGATGGGAGACTTGGACCACAGGGCAGCAGCGTAGGTGGTGAGCGGGGGCCAGACTCTAGGTGTCCTTCCCAGGTGTCAGGAAAACCCCAGGATCAGATGTGAGTGGAGGTACGGAAGTTTCAGGGTTGACTCCAAGATTGCTGGTCTGAGCTTTAGGAGGGGGGTACTGGAGTCAGACAGTTTTAGCTTTGTTAGGTTGACGTTCTAAGACACCCCGAAGTGGAGAGCCTACCAGGGAGCTGGATGGCCGAGTGTGAGCTCAGGGAAGGGTCAACGCTAAAAAGATCAGCGTGGACGTCACCAGCACCACGTGGGTGGTTCGAGCCACAGCCTGGACAAGATCCCCAAAGGAGACGAGATCCCAAGGAAAGACCAGAAATACATAGAAATGTTAAGAAACTGATGTCCTTTTTATCTCGTGGCCCCAAATCACCAGCGTTTCCTAAATCCTGTAATCTCCTTCAGCTGTGACGTCACTGACTTCGTCAATGTGGTGGGAATTTCCCAGATCTGTCCTCTGTGTCCCCAGCGGCTGACCCGGGGATATGGACCACACACGGCCTCCCGGGCCCTCCGGTTGTGTCAGATTTGCCACAGACGTTCTGGTGCATCGGAGGGCGGGGAATTTAGGTGTATCTGAAGGTCCTCTCGCTGAGAAATTCTGGGTTGGCTGGGTCCTCGACCGAGGCCACGGCTCCCGTCTGGAACCCCCGCCCCCTGGGACGGAGGGGACCGCAGCAGCCCCCCACCCCGACTGGCCCCCGGGGTTCGGCACTAGCTCTTAGTGCCTTTCCTGAACCTTCTCCGCAGCCAGGTAAACCTTCCTGCTACTGAACAACCTTCCCGGAATGACTGGGCTTGAATGTGCCGTCTGTGTTCTGACAGACAAGGTGGGGAAGGTCGTGGCCAGAAGGCAGGTTGAAAGCAGACTGATGGCGGAGGCTCCCCCTCCCCCCCCCACCCTCCCCCTCTGAGTTTATCTCTTCTAGTCAGAGCCTAGGGCCGGGCTGAGTCACAAAGGAGGACTGAGGACTGGGGAGGACAGGAAGGAGGAGACAAAATCAGATTCTGGCTCTTTTATAAGGGACTCCTTCCTTGTCTCTCTTTCGAGGCCACGCTTCTCGGTTTTAAGCTCCCTTTTCAGGCAACTCTTCTCCATCCAGCAATTTAGGAATCCAAGAGGGGGGCCCCCCGGGGGGGGGGCTTCATTTCTCAGGTTTCGTTAACAGACACAGGGATGAAAGGGAACCGAGCTGGAGTCTGGGTTCATGCTCTCGACATGAACGTTTCTCCCAAAACACGAGGCCCGTCCTGGGCAGAGAGAGGAAATGCACACACAAGAACACGAGGAAAGTGACAGGCTCTGCCGGGGAAAGGTTGACTCGGCTTTAACATCAAAGGCAAGACTCTGAAGGCAAGAGGTGTCCCCCCCACCCCCCGCCGCTGCACCCTGCTCCAAAAAAAGTCACATTCTGGGAGCATGAGGGCTGATCTTGATTGAAAACCCATACACTGAATGTTCTTACCACCCCTCCATTTAATATCTAATAATAAATATGAATTTATTCCAGGGGTGCCTGGGGGGCTTCCGACTCCCGATTTCGGCTCAGGTCGTGATCTCACGGTTGTGAGTTCGAGCCCCGCATCGGGCTCTGCGCTGACAGCTCGGAGCCTGGAGCCTGCTTCGGATTCTGTCTCAGTCTCTCTGCCCCTCCCCTGCTCGTGCTCTCTCTCTCTCTCTCTCTCTTTAACTCTCTCAAATACGAAATAACACGTTAAAACAAAAAATCATCGGAGAACTACACTTGAGACCCTAAGGTTTCCAGTGACACAAGGAAAAATCGAGGTGTCAGTGATTTCCCTCCTAATCTTTCTTTCCTGGCAATACGTTCCTCCAAAACTCATCTGTGGCTACAACACACACAAAAAGACGTGGTGCTGAGCCCTGGGGAAGTTGGCGGGTGGTACCGGAGCCCTCCGGACCGTCCTGAGCGGCCGGCCACCTACCAGTGGTTCATCTGCGGCCAGCTCTCCGTCCCCTCCTTCAATCCGAAAGGCTAGTTAACAGGAACAAAGGTAAACAAACAAACCAGCCTGCCAGATGGGTTTGTTGTTTCTTCGCAAACAATGGCAAAGCATTTCTTCCCAGGACAGTGAGCAACTGTGTATCTAAAAAGTGTGCCTCCAAGCGCTAAAGAAAGAGGAATTGTTCTCTAGAAAAAGAGAATAGGTCTTTTGGAGCTACAGAGTGAAGTCACCACGGCGCTTTTCTCCTATCGCCAGAGAAGACAGGAAATGCCATCACTAGAGACCCAGAGAGATGCTCCTGACTTTCTGCTGGAGGCAAGATGCTTTTGTGTCTCTTCCAAGGTGATGACAGACTTTTAAAAATGCCTGATGGTACGGCAGGTGGCAACTAAACTTCCTTTCCCCTTTCTGGTTGAACCTTAAAAATATATTGGGGCGCCTGGGTGGCGCGGTCGGTTAAGCGTCCGACTTCAGCCAGGTCACGATCTCGCGGTCCGTGAGTTCGAGCCCCGCGTCGGGCTCTGGGCTGATGGCTCAGAGCCTGGAGCCTGTTTCCGATTCTGTGTCTCCCTCTCTCTCTGCCCCTCCCCCGTTCATGCTCTGTCTCTCTCTGTCCCAAAAATAAATAAACGTTGAAAAAAAAAAAAAATACAGATAAGGGGCGCCTGGGTGGCTCAGTCGGCTCAGCGTCCTACTTCGGCTCAGGTCATGATCTCATGGTTTGTGGGTTCGAGCCCCGCGTCAGGCTCCGTGCTGACAGCTCAGAGCCTGGAGCCTGCTTCCGATTCTGTGTCTTCCTTTCTCTCTGCCCCTTCCACACTCATGCTTCTCACCCCCCCCCAAAATAAACATTAAGAAACAATTTAAAAACTATATACAGATAAAATCTATACAAATAAAAACCATCCTTCCAATTTTTGTTGTTGTTGCTGTTAGAAATCTCCCAGGGACAGAAATCTCCCAGGGACCGGGGGCAGCTAAGATAAGATAAGAATCACAGGGAACCTAAAATAAACAACCACAAACTTAAAGAAAAACTTCAATGACAAAGCTTCCAAGAAAGTTTTACTGCACTGCAAGAGATCACCGTTAGGCTGTGAGAATGTCTATTATTCACACCCCACAATTAGGTACAGCAGCTGCTCTTTTTTACTAGATTTATATATAATAGACCGTTAATTTTTAAAACTCCACAAAAAAGCAAAATATAGCACTGATCTGGGAACAGTCACTTCCAAAAAAAAAAAAAAAGTGGAAAAAAAAAAGCATAAACACTCAATTGAGGACAGTCAACCATCTGGAATTTTAAA